CTTCAGTACTTTGGAGAGGTCCCTAACAGCAGACTTTCCCATGGCAATGCGCCTTTTCATTTTCTGGCTACTGGTGCCAAGGTTTCTGGGTTGTTGTTGTTCTGGGTTAGTAAAGACAAATAAAGGATAAGAGTCAGAGTGGAGAGATATAGTAAAGAATATTATATGGCTTCTGGGCTAGGAAGATGTGAGTATTATAAGGAGATGGTATATTTATATAATGGAATTTTATGTATTACTGAAAAATAATCAACTTGTAAAACACTATGAACATAGGGAACTCAGAAGATGTTATGCTGGGTGAAATATTCTCGTTACAAAGTGCTACATAGTATCACTATTATAAAGCAGGGCTGACTCAGGAGGTTGGGAGGAGAACAGGGAAAGAGTGACTAGATAATGACCATTGCATTGGAACAGATAAAGAAAAGAACTGCTTAAAAGGAATGTAGGATTAAACATTATATGTAGGACAACACCTGGGAATAAGAGGTCATAAAGATGACCAGGAGGAGGGGTAGGTAGGTATTTGTACAGGGTTGTTTGTTTGTTTATTCCCTCCTTGTTTATTTACAAAATTCAAATACAAATTTGAACAAATTCTTTTGATTTCTCTCACCCCCCATCAAATTATACAACCCAACTATTAATACCCCCTGCATAACCACATCCCTCTATTCCAGCCTCTCCCACCCCTCCTGGATCCTTATACTCATTCTACAATAACAGTTTTATACAATATTTATCCTTATGGGACTGAGTTAGTTCACTAAGCATAATGCTCTCCAGTCCCTCCCAAGTTAGGTAATAATTTACAATGTTACTGCTCCTGCATGCTTCTTAGTATTCCATTGTGTAAATGTACCATCATTTCTCAATCCATTCGTTTGTACCTAGACCATTTGGGCTTTTTCCATGGTTTTGCTATGGTGAATAATGCTGCTACGAACATTGGTGTCCAAATCTCAGTTTGTGCCTCAGTTCTCATACTCTCAGGGTATATTCCAAGTAGTGGAATAACTAGGTCATATGGAATTTCTATGTTCATCCTTTTGAGGAAGCTCTAAACTGCCTTCCAGAATGGTTGCACCATTTTACAATCCCACCAACAATGTATAAGGGTTCCTTTCTTGCCACATCCTCTCCAACATCTATTACTTGCTGCCCTGTTAAACTTTTCCACTCTTACTGGAGTGAAATGGTACCTTATTGTGGTTTTGATTTGCATCTCTCTTATTGCCAGTGATTTGGAGCATTTCTTCAACCAGAAATGCACAATCTAAAGAGGATGCATGGGACCTTCTAAAGATTAAATCTCTATGCACATCAAAATCTTTTTCCAACAGGGTGAAAAGAAAACCTACAGACTGGGAACAAACATTTGGTAATTCCATCTCAGACAAGAGTCTTACAACAAAAGTTTACAGAATACTCCTCAGTATCCACAAGAAAAAGACTGATAACCCAGTTACAAAATGGGCAAAAGACATGGAAAGAATTTTCACAGAGGAAGATATTCAAATAACAAACAGACATATGTACAGGGTTTGTTTTGTTGTTGTTTTTTTTTAATGTCTGCAATAGTAAGCTGGCAGAAGGAAAGAAGGTTGCTAAAAATCTCCAGACAGAGGACTTGTACTAGAGTCCAGAAGAAATTTAATTTCTTTTATCAGCAGTGTCCATGCATACTCAAGGCTTTTCCAGGCTTACGGTGATGCTATCCTGGTCACTCATGCCACCCTTAAGGGGGCTAAAGCCCTGTTAGTTTGATTGCTCTTTTGCTACCAAGACTGGTTTGGGGCATTGCTGAGCCAGGTGTTTATGAGGACTGCATTGAAAGCAAGTGGCAAGAGGCTTCCCTTTTGCCTCTTTACTTTTTGTTGCAGCATGTTTTGATATTCGTGGCTTATGTGACAATGACGAAGCCTTTTATTCTGGAAGTTAAAGCTTTGAACTTGGAGGTTTTGGATGCATTTGCTGGATGAAAAGGTTGTAAATATTCTGCAATAGCAGTTTTAAGAAATTTGGCATTTATCTAGTACTTCTTTTCCTGGTCTAAGTTATTATTGATTAATACTGAAATAGCAACAGTTAAAAATTAGTCAGAGCTATTTTGGTGGTCTGCTAATTTAGAGTAGTTTACTGATTTTACATGAATATTATTTATTTTAATGAGACAAGTTTGTATATAATTTCTAGTAGCTATTTTTAAAATTCTTTAATTGATAATTTTAAAATATAGAGAACATATGAGCTTTAAACTAGTATTATATTAAACTTAAAAAAGAAAAGATAAATGTGAAAAATTTTTCAGTTCTGTGCTCTGGCTGAAAATGTAAAGTGGGTTGAAAATACCTTAAGGAAAAAGGAAATAAAATAAAATTCTTAAACTTGTTTTAATAAAGTAAAAAAAATTAATTTATTTTTTCCTGAGAGGAAGCATTAGCTTATCAGTACAGAGAGTGAGTTAGGAAAACAGAAGAAATTATAATATTTAAGACTCT